CTCTTGTGACTATATGCCTTGAGAATATATGCGTTTCTTTTGATGCTTGGGCTCGTCTATTGACTCCTGTTGTTACTTTCTAGTGTTTGGATTATTTCATAACTGTGCTAGTTGCTTTAACTTGAGTGTGGGGTTTGAGCCATCCTGAGTAAGTCATGTGCATTGTGTGAGGTGAGATTTTGATTGTACTCTATGTCATTCCTTGTTAGTCTTGAACTTGCCCCGTGTGTGAGTCGAAGCAAAATAAAGTCTTGTGAGTTTAGGAAATGATATAGGCGTTTCTTTGATTGATCCTTCAGTCTATTTTCCTAACAGTGATAAAATATTATCCTTTGCTAGCCCATTTGGGCCTGTAAACCTTTTCTTTGGTACCCACATTACAAGACGAATACCTTTTGTTCTTAATGAAATCTTGTTGAACCTTTACCCCCGAAAGCACTTAAGTCGCTAGAAGTGAAGGAAAAGAGATTTGGCAGTTTTTGAGTGGAACCACAGAAAGGCCAAAAGGTACATGTGTATATTGAGAGAGCCACTAGCTTGAAATACTAATTTATGGAGGGTGTTGAAAAGATTTTTTTTTTAAAAAAAAATAAAAAGAAAAAAAAGAAAAAGAAAAAAAATACAAAATAAAAAAATCCCTCCAATTCACTTTGATATGTGCTAGTGCTTATGTAGATGTGCTTAAAGTCAATTAGCTACGTTATTTACAGTTTCGTAGCAATATGTTGAGTGATCATGAAGAGGATGTGCTTAAAAGTTAATATGTATTGTATTAAAAGTGCTTAGGAGGGTTAGTCACTATTATCAATATCTATCCTACCCGTCCCATAGTATACATTACAACCCATGAAGATCTAATTGATTATAGACTTTGCGAGCTTAAATTAGTAGAGACTTACATTACGAGCAAGCCTATGGTACGAGCTTTAGGGGCACATGAGTTTCTTGCGAGAGTGAGTGAATTCTTTCATTCTGTGAATCCTTAAATTATACTTGAATTCATATTTGAGTGTGCGAACTGGTTACTCTCTTTGTTTTGCTGGTGAGGGCACATGCTTTACAATGGATTGGTAATGAACTCATATCTTTAGCTTGCACAAGAAGAGAGTCACAAAGAGGAATGTAGTGGAGTCAATTTTTGAGACTAGGATGTTAGAAGACTCGCACAAATATTTTAAATAGTCTTGGCATTGGTATAAAAATAAGGAGAGTATGAAGAGTCCTTATGTCGGGTTCCAAGCATTGATATAAACTATTGTCATTGGTGTGATGCTTGAGTATATTTTGAAAGGTATTTCTTGCCTATGCGCTTAATTTTAAGTTGCTCGCGGACGAGCAAGAGTTTAAGTGTGGAGTGGTGATAAATGATGAAAAGTGCATATTTTTGAGTATATTTGCATATTAATTCTTGTGTGAGTTGCAGGAAATTACATGGTTTTTGAAGTAAAATATACTCACTATATATTTCTTATGTGTTGGAACGAGTTTGGATGATAAATGATCAAAAGATGACAATTCGACACAAAAAGAAGAAATTGAAGGATTGGGAGCTCGTCTATTCTCGTTCGCGGCACCAAGACGAACGCGAAAAAGGAGAAAAGTGAAGGCACAAAATAGCGAAGCGAAGTAAAGGCACAGATCGCTTCGCGAAATAGAAGAATTTCAAAAGCTGAATCCGCGTCAAAGATCGCGCGCTGCGCGAAGTCAGACGCGGAATCCAGCTGAATCCGCATCAAAGATCGGGTGCTGCGCGAAGTCAGACACGGATTCCAGCTTCTCCCATCCGAAGATGGATTGAAAAATTCCGCCCCTCATCAACCCTAAGTGATATAAATACATCTTAAAATACAAATTTGAAGGGGGAGACACTACTTTAGGGTTAGACAATACCTAAGGAGGCAAGAATACGCTAGGAGCAAGGAGGAAGATTTAACCACAAGTTTTTCCTTCCTCTTCCTATTTTTCATTGTTGGTTATGACTTTTAGTATTGTAGTTTTACATACTATTATGAGTAGCTAATTTATTATCTAGGGTTGTCACGACCCAAATTTCCCACCGTCGGAACCATGATGGCGCCTAACATCGCACTCACTACTCACTAGGCAAGCCAACGTTAGAGTTCTATTCAGTTTTTTTCCTTTCACTACAATAAAGTAAGGATACGACGATATTTATTTAGTGAAATTTGTAATAAATGTCGGGAAAAAATAAATTTTCCGACATTTATAACAAAATATAGTAAAAAAATGACATTTGTGACAAAATGTAGAAAAAATAACGGCATTTGAATCAAAGTGTTGCAAAAGTAATGACATTTGATACAAAATATCGTAAAAACAATGACAGTTTTTATTAAATATCATAAAAATAATAACATTTGATGCAAAATGCCATAAAATACCGACATATGATATAAAATATCAAAAAGATTGTGACATTTATTTTAAATGTCATATTATTAGTCGGTAATTATCAACATTTACATTAATTGTAAATCATTGTTTATCTAGAAGAAGAAAAAAATATTATTTTTATTTAATACTGTATTTTTTAGTATTGTGATAATTACCCACATAGTAGATGAGTTCTCTTATTATTAATCAACATTTTAAAAGGCCTTTTGGGACTCGCCGACCTTTGGGTGCAGTACTTGTAAAGTGGCATGAGGTTCACATGTGGAGTTTATTTTGTGAGGTTTACATACGCCCCAAGTGCCTAATTGTGCACTATTATTGACCCTCAAGAATATTTTACCAAATGAATGATAAAGTTTTATTGATATATAAAAAGTATGAAGATTGAGATTAATTCAAATAACCAAGTCAAAGTATTGCATATTTACTAAGTGAGAACATCATAGTAAATATTATTTGATTTCTTCTGCAAATATATAGAGATACGAAATATATATCTTCACGTATAATTGGTCTCGATTTTTAATTTTGTGTCTCTAAAAATATTAAAGTTTTATTATTTTATAATGTGAAAATATTTATGTATTTATTTATGAAGGAGTAAATTTTAAATTACTATGATATAACTTGTTGATTATTATTTGCTTTTAGGAAGGTAATTATGTATAGTTGATAATATTTTTAAAAAATTATTATTTATTTAAAAGCTAAGACATTATAATTGATTTGTATCTCATAATAATTTAATGTTATTGTATTATTTATGCTTGCAAAAAGATGTTAGATATTTTATTTTTTACGAGTTTTTTTATATTTTTAAACTTTAATGTACTTTCTATTGGCCACATTATTATACTATTTACCATTTACGATTTACATAATTGCAATCCAAAAGTTAGCGAATTGTTAGACCCTAAACGGCCGAAACCTCAAGACCCTAACATATTTGGGGATTCTCAAATTGGTTCAATCTTTTACCAAATTCAGTCTAATTTTAGTCAAATTTGATTTCCTTCTCCGCCATATATTCCCCCTCTACAAATTATGGTTGCGAAAAAAGCTATGTATGGAGAGTATGAGAGATTTACAAGGAAAAGATTTTGGCGGTAAAAATTTTCGGCTTCCCTCCTCCTAATTCTAAAGTTACAGTTTCCTTTTAGGGGTGACCCGACGAGTTCTGTGACCTAAAACCAAACTTTACGAGGGCATTAACTTTTTTTAACAGAAATTATTTATTTATTTATTTATTTATTTGAAGTTTATTTTCCTAGGGTTTCTTAAATACAAAGTTATTAATAATTTTTTTTAATAATCAATAACTGCTAATAAAATTGACAATATATATATAGCTAATCCATTAACCTTTACTGAGGCATTGTTGATCTTAGGTAAGATTTTATAAATTTAATTTTGAGAATTTCTTTCCACTGAAGCGGCAATAACAAGAGTTATTAACATTATTTCATAAGTAATACAGGCATTGAAAAAAGAATCAATTTTTTTAGTTGACCGAGATATGAATTAAACTGTTATCTTCTAATTGTACTATTTTTCTTAATATTTTTAATCCCGAAAATAAATTTAAACCATCAATATCGAATTGATTATTATGCTTTAGTGATCTTAATTTTTATCGCTGAATAGAAAACCATAAATAGTTTCATATGCTTCGAATTATTCAAATCTATTTTGAAGTAAAAAAAAAATAGCCCTGTCTACATATATAAAGTAATCAACTCTGAAGGACTCTTTGAAAGATTTTGAGATTTTATTATCAACATTCTCATCAAATTATTACTTCCTATATATCATACGTTTCTTACAAAATACGGGCCCGATATTCATTTCAAGTGCAATTTTCGTGGCAGAAATCATAGCAATTGCAAATCCTTCTTCTCTATATTTGTTAAAGAAAGAAATCAAACTTTTTCACGTCAAATAACCTTTTTAAATTTTATACATAGCCTATTTGATGTAACAAAAAATGGTCCCCCACAAATATAGGGCCTAAAGCAGTTGCTTTACTTGCTTTATGGAAGGGTCGCCCTGGTTTCCTTTATTAGTTAGAACTCTTCAGACAATCTAATTTTGCATTATGCTTTGGTAATTTAATTGGAGATTTAAGAAAACAGGGAAAGGGTGGCAAGCTATTGGAAGAACAATGATATAGGGTTCAGACTTTTGCAGGTTCTTATCTATCTTCTGTTTATTTAGTACTGTATAAATCTAATTATTTGTAGTGTGATAGTTAAAAGAAAGTATTTTTGTGTTCTGAAGTACTTACTAGATTTTCTCCTTTCCTAGTTATTTAGGCTCTTTTAAGTTTATTTTCGGAGTATATTTTAATTTTCTGTAAAAACTTTTTATACTGTCGTAAATCTTATCTGAAGTTCTAAGCGTATATACTGATGGAGTAAAACAAATTCACTTTAGATTAAGTTCAAGGAGAGTTCTTCTTTGATGCTATATGTATAGGTTAAATTCTTGATGGATAAGAGTTGGATAAACATATTGAATATGAACGATCCTTTATATGAGATCAGAGCCAAAGAGTTTATTCATTTTGCGTCATTGGATAGGCCTAGTGCATCTGAAATCTTGTGTCTATGTCGAACTCTATGGAAAGGAGCGGCTCCAAACTCTGTTTATGGCCTAGTATATAAATGATCCAAGGCTAAAGCAAAGAGATTTTGATGCAAGGGTTGAGATAGAAGTTCAAAAAACTATCACAGTTATCCAAGCTGATATGGAGAAAAAGTTGGCAGAAGCAAAAGAAGATATGAAAGCAACAATAGATGATTAAGTAAAGGCCGGTGTCCAAGCATATCTAGAGAGTATAAGTATTACAATTGACTCAAATAGTAAATCAATCACTAATGAGCAGGTAAATAACTTTATGTTCATTCACAAACTTTTTTGTCTTTAAGTTAGTAATTGCTATTTTTTTCTTTTAATTATAATAATCTCCCTCTTTGTGATAGGTTTTCGATAACTCACATGAAGATCACCAACAATCATTATCACCGATTTCAGTTGTTCACAAAAATAAGGTGAGTTTTAGATTAAAGTTACGAGTTAATTACCCATGTGTTATAATCTTGTATTTGAGCAAAATATGTGGGAGTTTAGCTGTTGATATATTAGATATATAGCAAATTACGTAGTGTGGCTGCAACCTGTTTTAGCTGTACTGCAAACTGATCTCGAACAGTAGCACTATACCTCACTTAGAATGCATTTAGTGGAAAATTACATTCTTACTCATCTCCATCATTCCTTTATTTCTCTTCTATTTAGACAAATGCAAAATCCAGTCTTATATCATCATCAGATTCATTATATTTATTCTTATTTATTCTATTGTTTGGAGAAATGAGATCATCTTATAAATTTGTGAAATTCAATTCTTTTCGGGTTATTAGTTTTTAAGATATGAGAGTTACAAGTTGTAGTTTTGGCCTGGCTTATTTCTTTATAATTTTTGCCTCTTCAGCTTTGGTTTAGTTTGATATAAGTTCTGTCATTGTTTGATTGAAGTATGCTTAATTATAGCTATTTTTTTTAATTGATGTTGACTTCTCTGTTAGCATTTTAAGAATTGATGGGTCTATATTGGATTATATCTTTGTGATTTGTGAATAGTGAAACTTTTAGCTCAAAAGAACTTTTACAATGTTGTCACATAAGGAGCTCTAGTACAAATGTGCTATCAATGTTGCCTCTAGACTTTTGCTTGTAATTTAAAGTTCTTATGTTGTTTTTATAGAAGTGTGCGACATTTCGAGGCTATATAGGCTATGTCTTATTGATTTTATCCTGTACTCGACATTCAATTTAAAGTCTATTAACTATCAAAGTAACCTTTCTAATATTTCTTTTTCAGGTTAACAAAATTAAGAACAACGAAACTAATGAACTTGGGACCAAAAAAAGGGGGTAAGTTTGGAAAAACATGTAACACATATGGTACTTTTTCAATTTTATTACATAGTTGTAATTCTCCTTTTATGTGATTCTTTGCATAACTTCTGAAGGATGTAAGATCAATTATTGGCAAGGAATACTTGGCTTGTGGAAAGATAGATCCATAAAGCCTTGCTACAGAATTTATTCTGGAGTTTAAGAAAATTCGTTCGGATTAGGAGTGAATTTGACATAGTTCCATGTTAAAATTACTTTATCTTTTATGATTTAGTTTGAATTACGTTTTATTTGAGATATAACAGGTCATTTAATTTGAACTCTTAATTTGTAAGGAGAACCCTTATTATGTCAGTTACTATGTTCTTCAAATACAACGTGAGAAGAAAATTTTTCTTTTTCATATTTGTTTCATTGTGTATAAAGATTGACATTTTTGAATGTACAAATCAAATTATTATGTATGAGTCACGATGAAAAACTAAATAAATGATTATTATTTATATTTTAGAAATTTGATATGCATATTTTAAAGTGGCATTTCAGAAGATTTAAAAATGTCATTAATTTATTTGACATTCACATAAATGTTGTAAATTTTTTATTGACAGTTACTATAATGTCGTAAATTATAATGCGAGATTTTTTAAAAGCTGTAAATAAATGTCATAATCTTTTTACCAACATTATTCTAAATGTCAGCAATTTTAAGTGACATTTCAAAAATGTCATAAATAAATGACGCAAATTTCTTACCGGCATTTATGCAAAAATCAGAAAATTCCCGACCCCAAAATTTACGATATTTGATATAAATGTAAATTAAATATCAGTAAGTGACATTTAAACATCATTAAGCGACATTTATTTAATGTCGTCGCATCCTTACTTTCTTGTACTGTTTACATTTTATGATTAAAATTTAACAAAACTAAATCAATGGAAATAAATGCGGAAGTACATAATTAACTGCTGATCCTTATACTAGTAGCAAAACATAAACAGTTATTACCCAGAAACTGGTGTCACAACCCATGAACATTCTATGAATATTTACAAGTATTGGTCTGAAAGAAAAGTACATGTGCCTCGAAAGAAAATAAAACAAAAATGTAGAACATAGGAGGGGACGCCAGGGCCTGCATACGCCTGCAGGACTACCTTGGGTCTCCTAGATGAATGCTTGCAACCGACCTCTCGATCAGCCACAACTAGCTCCAAAATCTGCACAAAAAGCGCAGAGTGCAGTATCAGTACAATCGACCCCATGTACTGGTAATTGCCGAGCCTAACCTCGACGAGGTAGTGACGAGGCTACAGCGGGGCGTTTATAATATGACCTACACACAGTTTATAATAAAGAAAAAAGGAAGTACAGAACGAAATAAAATAGTAACTTGCAGTAAATAAATACGGAACCCAGTTATCCTGCCAGTACTCAGATATAACCAATCCTTAAGAGAGTTTCAATGCTACAGAATAAAATCACAGCAGAAGCAGAATACATATACAACAAAATGATTTGGCGCGCATCCCGATCCCACCATATAATCAGTAACAATATGAACATTCACCCTTACTACTCCTTGTTGCGGCGTGCAACCGGTGAGTTTTGGATAAGTCACGGAATGAGATTAGACTTAGAGAAAAATTCTGTTGCATTTGGTATTTTGTTGCAGGCTCTGATGTCGCAATTGTAAGGTCAGACTTCGCAATTGCGAGCCTCATAGGCTTGGCAATTACGAGGGCATTATCGCAATTGCGAAGAAGCCCTGGCCAGCATAGTTCGCATTTGCGACATTTCCTTCGCATTTGCGGAAGTCAACATGGGGGTCAACATTCGCAATTGCGAAGTCAGCAGGTTCGCATTTGCGAAGCCTGTATCGCAATTGCGAAGCTCCTGTCGCAAAAGCGACATCAACAACTGATCAAAACATCACTTGGACGGGATTTTGAACTCATTTCTCAAATTTTCAAACCCTAAACTCTCATAGGCGATTTTCCAAAGGAGAGTTCTTCCCCAAATCATAGGTAAACGATTTCTAACTCATTTTCTTCATCTATTTCATCTTTTTGCATGATTTCATCTCAAAATCTAGGATTTTTCATGGGAATTAGGTGTTTTGGGTAGAATTTAGGGATTTCGAAATTTGGGGATTTAGATCTCAAATTATGATTGGAATTCAAAACCAATTGCATATTTGGATTCGTGGGTGAATGGTAATCGGATTTTGGTTCAAACTTCGAGTTTTGACCAAGCGGGCCCGGGGTCGATTTTTGACTTTTGGGGAAAATATTGGGAAATCTATACTCATGCATTAGAATTGGTTTATTTAGCATTAATTGATGTTAATTAGTTAATTATGCATAAATTCGGGCAGTTTAGAAGTGGAAATCAAAGGAAAAGCGGTAATTGAGGCTTGACTTTTGGCCGTGGAATCGAGGTAAGTGTTTGGTCTAACCTTAGCTTGAGGGAATAGATGTTGTTGTCTTATTTTCTACGTGTTAGTGTTGAGTACGACGTATAGGTGTGGTGACGAGTATCTATATGTTGGTATCGAGCATGCAAGTGAGTCTTATACTGTGACTGTTATAACTCTTATTATGTACTGTTCATGCTTAAATTGATGATTATCCATGTTGAATAAGACTTATGATATTTTCTTGGTAATTGACCATTATTAAGTATTGACTCAAGTTGAGGCTTATTTTGTGAAGTTAACTATTGAAACAAGATTAGTTATAGTTGATTCCCTTACCGGGATGTTATTATTTCCATTGTTGATTCCCTTGCCGGGATGTTATTGTTTCTATTATTTGGATGAGGAAGAGTGTAAAGTACGAAAGATGATGTTGTGCACGATATTGTGAGAGAGTGTTAATGCACAAATGGTGATGTCGTTCCATATTCAGTGAGTGTTAATGCACGAAAGGTGATGTCGTGCCATATTTCTATGAGTGTTAATGCACGAAGGGTGATGCCGTGCCATGATTATGAGAGAGTAAAAGCAAGAAGGGTGATGCCGTGCCATTTATAATGATTTCTATGGTGATGACGAGAGTAAAAGCACGAAGGATAATGTCGTGCACTTGTTACTGTGTTATCCTTTTTGTTGGTTCAAAGGTTATATTTACCTTACTTCTTTACTTTATTACTATCAGAATTTGATATTCCCCTCAACATGTTTCCCTTTCCCGTCTTTATCTGTTCAATTTTGTTATTGCTGTTTCTCGTATATGATTTAACTGCACAGATTTATATGATTGTCGTATTTTAGCCTCGTCACTACTTCGCCGAGATTAGGCTTGACACTTACCAGTACATGGGGTTGGTTGTACTGATACTGCACTCTGCACTTTCTATGCAGATTTCAGTACTGGACCATATGAGTAGTTTTGAGGTTGCTGCCTTCAGTCCACGGGAGACCCAAGGTAGATCTGCCGGCGTCCGTAGACCTTGGAGTCTCCCTTCCCCCTATTTTGGATTATTTGTCTCTTTCCATTTCGAGAACAGCCGTAATTCTATTAAACCAGTATTTGTAGAACTTCTTAGATGTTTGTGAATTGTGTCACCAGATCGATGGGGTAGATATGTATTGGAGTATTTGAAACTGTTATAACACTTTCGCATATTATATTTTTTTAGCTTTAGTTATTATTTATTTCTGTTTGGGTTAATTTTTAATGTGTTAAAACTGTAATTGTTGGCTTGCCTAGCATTCAAGAGTTAGGCACCATCACGATCCCGACAGTGGAAAATCCGGATCGTGACATAGGGGTAAGGTTTGCGTACACACTACCCTCCTCAAATCCCACTTGTGGAATTACACTAGGTTTTTTGTTATTGTTGTTGTTGTTGTTCGTAAAAATTGCACGTGACGCCTTATTTGGTCGCTCCCATTTAACCTATACCCATTTTTTTAAAAGTCTTAACTTGTACCAACTTTTTAAAAAACTTCAACCCCTTTCTCCTCCTCCTTCTCCTACTTCGTTTTCTTCTTCTTCTTCTTCTGTTGTTGCTGCTGCTGCTGCTGCTACTATTGGTGCTGCTATGAAACTTCAGTTTATGGGGATGATTTCCATAAGTATGTTTATCAGATTATTTAAAAATAAATTATAAATAACAAAGTAAGTATGTATATGTATGTAAATGTAAGTCCATTTCCTTTAATTCACATTTTATTATTTTTTTTGGATTCAGCTTTGTACATTATCAATGCATTTTAACCCGTTGTGCTAAATCATTATCTAATTTTTTAAGTTACTAATTCTACTTATAATAAACTTATTATCTGTGCAAAAAATCAATTACATGATTACATAAAACATGCTGAAGTTTAGCAAATATAGAACAAAACTTCAACTAAAACATGTTGAAGTTCAGTAAATAGAGAACAAAACTTCAGCTACTAGAGTGCTTAAGTTCAGCAATTACAAACAAAAACTTCAGCAAATAGAGAACAATACTTCATCTATTATGCTTAATTTCAGCAATTACAAACAAAAATTTCAGCACACTTGGTTCACTAATTTTTGCTACTTCAGGCCTGTCTACTAGAATGCTGAAGTTTGAGTGATTGCCTTTGGTACTTCAGGCCCGTATGCTGAAGTTACGCGAAAAAGTGGGTACACTTGTAATTTTTTTTGTGTAACGACCCGGTCGGTCGTTCCAAGAGTTGTAGCCATGTTTTTCATATTTCTACTTCTTTATATGTTTTTAAGCTGTGTTGAGTTGTATCGAGTCGGTAGGTTTGGGTCCGGAGTAGTTTTGGAGTGAAATGAACACTTAGTCTCTTAGTTAGAAAGCTAAGTTAGAAAAGTCAACCTGTAGTTGACTTATGAGTAAACAAATTCGGATTGGGAATTTTATGATTCGGTTAGCTTCGTTGGGTAATTTTAGACTTAGGGGTGTGTCCGCAATATAATTTGGAGGTCCGTGATAAAATTAGGCTTGAATTGGTGGAAGTTAGAAATTTAGTGATTTTGGTCGGCAGTGGAAAATTAGGTGTCGGGATTGAAATGGAATGCCCGAAGTTGGAGTAGGTTCGTAGTATCATTTGTGACGCGTGTGCCAAAAAGTACTAAGCTAGTAGAAAATAATTTTTTTTATGATATATATGATATTGTATTAAATAAGGGGCTAGTAGTTAATTTTTTTAACTGTGCTTAAGACTATTAAAGAAAAAGGAGCGGGCCAAGCCCATTCTCTTAAAATGGGTGC